TGTTTTGTTCAAATATTTGAATTATTGTACTCCTAAAATAATATAGGTACAATTCTCAACAAATTAGTTTGAAATACAACTGCAACTGAAGTTTCGTTCCGTAAATGGAAGTAGGTAGTRCCGTGAAATTATTCRCTTTGTTCATTTCCATTTAACTAAATGCGTTGAACTGCATTTTCGACAAATATTTCTCTTAAGTCTATTATTAATGTTTTTTAGAAATTCATATTGACTTCACTCTTCCTTTTCTATCAAAAGTTATCCGTTTTAAAACATTTTATATTGAAAATGTGCTCTTCAAGTACAACCAGTTTAGTGGGTGACTTTAAATTTGGAAGCAATGATAAATTGACAATTATTAATAAATGATAAGAGAAAAATATAACTTATTTAATTCAACAAAAATTTTTTAATATTTCATAAAATTTTTCTATTCTCAAAGATGGATCTTAAAAATACACGATATATGCATGACCATTGTGTCAAATAGGGTTCCATAAATGATGATTGATAAATCAAAATGTGAAATATAGGAGAAACCCACATATTTCATTAGTAAATAGACCATTATTATTAAAAATCTTAACGAAAACATTTAAAATAAACAATAATTTTTAGAATATTAAAATACGCATATATTTACCAGTATTTTTTCCAATAACATTTCGTAAACTCAGTAAATTTCCATTTGACTTAATTAAGTGATCGAGGTAAACGCGAATTGCAGTCATGACACCGATTCCGCCCAACATCATGAGTTCTAAAATATAAACATTATTTTAGTTAGTACATCGTGATTTAAATAAATGTCGTGATTTTTAATTTAAGCAACGGACTGACAAAAATTGCTAGTTGAACGTGTATCGACAACCCGCCAAACCAATTGGAGTGGTCGTCCGTCGTCTGTTTCGATACGGTCAAATCCAATAAGGACCCGTTGTCTTCGGCCGGACACGTGTGAGAGGACCACCAACTATAATAATTATCGGAGAAAAAATAAATTATCTGAACTTCGAGTAAGGTCTCTCGAAACAGACCTACGCCACACGCACTCACAAAGTTGAGTCAACTTTGCGTTTGTATTATTAATACATTTATTTTTTTAATGAAATATCATGTATAACATAATAATATAATACTCACTCGCCAGTAATATACGGTGCAATGTCTCTGGTGTACGCCTTGTCGAATATTTTTCGCAAACTAAACAAAAACAACGGATCCTTGCAAGCGTCCAATATATTTCGGAGGAAATTTCTTTTTACATCGCAGATACTCGTTTTGTACCACTGTTGTAGATTGCGAAATCGAATCACATCGTTTCCGCTCATAGATTCTAAGTGCACATTTGTCTTGTCCTCCTCTTGCTGCAACAGCAGCAGACTGTCGCCATTTCGACTTGTCATAGTTAATTGAATAATTTCTGTGTGTTTCGTGCGAGTGGATATCTAAACGTACTTCAGCTTAAGAGCAACAACCATAATTCACTAGAATAAAGTACAGAAAAAAAAAAAATAGAAGGAAATAACAAAAAATAAAATCAACTACGACGAAGCGCATTTCACATAGAAACTGAATGTTTAATTTATATTAGTCTTGAAATTAATTTATATACAAAAATATCAGCGAACGCACGCGCACCGCGTCGTTCAATTACTTTTTGTTTGATGTGATTAATTCTCTTGGGTCTAATAAGCTATTTCAACTTAGTCAAACGGTTCAAGCATAAAAATAGGACTGACAAATTGCTTTCGTTGTGCGCACGAGTATCCCRTGCACTTGTGTCTAATAACGTTGATTTGTAACTGTACAAAGCAGTGTGATATACACTAATTGACGTGTGTCCGAATACCAACGTGCGAGGGTGATCTTGAGATATTATTTCGAACAAAAAATATAAATCTTAATAACAGTYACTGATCCGAATACCACGAAATTATATAATGTTTGAAAGTTATTAATAACTCTAATAAATCTTCGTTCAAAAAATTATCACGTATAATGTAATAAGTCTATACCTATCATCCTACGTTCAAAATTGTACAAGTTAAATGTGTTAAAAAAATATTAATGTTMTAAAATTTGTTTCACAGCGAAAACAAACAATCCGGAAAAAAGCACTATTTTCTTTAAAAAGTATAATTATGTTTAAATTACCAACAAATACGACGTAAACTCGCGTTTTATAAACACTAAGTTGCAGGTGTGATTTCATAGTTTAGAAACGCTAAGTACCCTACTATACATACTTACTTCAAAAAAAGTACAATGTGCTATCGGGATATGTAATAAGTATGTGTTTGCTTTTGTTCATGCAAATGGCATGTGCTTTTCTGGCACATTACATAATATTACTACATTGTTGTACATCTAACTATATTACCATATAATATGACCGGAAACGTTTTAACTAACGTTTTACTTAAGGTTCAAATCCGTGTAATTTAGGTGAATAGACTGCTGTTTGATGTGTTTTTTTTATTTTACACGTGTATATTATAATATTATAGAAGGCACTCTTTATATATACGCAATACATAATTATTACAAACATTTGTTGTCGTTGCTAAATTATCATAGTGTAATTATTTATACGTTAATTTTATATAATTTTAATCATTTATGTGCATATTATTTTGATGATATTGATATTAAAGTGTTTGCCAAGTTTCTTAAAATAAAATTATATTTTACCAGGACTAAATATTAAGTCATTTTGATGATTAAAAAAAAAAAAGCTTTTATAAGATACCTTCCTAATTACATCGTCATTATTATAAATTTTAAGCCGATTGTAAAAGTGAAATATATGTCTTGAAACAATTTTTAGCGTTCTATTATTTCCCGGAAAAGCAGCGTTATTAATGTGAGCATGATAAGTTTGTCTTGTAATTCTTAGTTTTGATACACAAAAAGAGAAAGAAAATTTATTTTGTTKTTACTTTTGTCTTTACGGATAAAACGAAAAAAAAATACWAACGGAACATAAATAATACAATAACTAACTGCAGCAATAACGTCATGTAACTTGAAATTTGTTGGGCGATAAATTATTTGAGATATTATCAAAATACGTTCGTAATATCCTTTTTAACAACAAACGAATCGAAAAATAAAATAACATATATATAATATATATTTTTAAGTCCTCATTGGTTTGTTTAAGTTTTTTTTTCTTTTTTCTCTGTGAGCAGTGGTGATCCGATTTCTCAACGAATTATTAATGTACGGAATAACGAAGTCTCTGTGGTCACATTATCATATTATTATGTCTCACTAAGATGCACGTGGATGTCGTCTCAAACAACATGACCTAAACAAACACGACATTAACAATAACAATAACAATAACAACAACAACAACAAAGACTATATGTCAAGGATATCCGTCACAGCACCCTCCATCGGTGGGTTGGGCAGAAGGGAAGAAGGGGGTGAAGAACATTAACATTTGGTACGGCATCGACTATTGAAAACACCGCAAAGTCGCCGTGATTCGCGAGTGGGTGGTTAACGGTTTCCTATTAGTTAAACCTTGCAGTAGAGGTAGTGAACACGTCAAGAAACTTATGGCGGTAATCGAATAATGCGGTGGCACTCAAAACGGAACGTTCGGCGACGATTAAGACCTATATAATCCACCGGAATAACGCCRMCCCGCACACACCCRCCTCATAGCCCATACGCACGACCCACAGCTGCTGCAGCTTCGCCTTGGGAGTTTCTTCGCGTTCACTTTATTATTAAACGCTGTTCGAGACGAACGCGAAASTTTTCCGGAGTATGTGTCAATTTACGGCGCTGCGCTGKTGGTACCATCACCGCACCCGCCACCCATCACCCACCGCCGCGCCCTTAACGCGTGCTAAACAATAATACATATGTTTTCGTCAGTGACGGGACCCATTAGGCTAATGGAACCTCCTCGTCGTCGTCGTCGTCGTCGTGTATACCTTTTTCGTTTAATGTAACTCGGGTGTATTTTTAAACGGTTTACTGTGCAGCGCGGAATGCACCGCCGCCGTGTTAAGTGCAAAGTTTCTGGGAGACTTGACGTCCCCCCCACGTCGTACTACGGGTTAGGTATACCTATATTATTATATCGCTGTAGCCCAGCAGATAGTGACGCGCGCGCGTATTTAGTTTGAAATAGAAACAAATCGTATCAATTCCATCTGCTTTCGACGTCCGATCGTCACACGGTATACCTATACGCATATATATTTAAATATAATGTTCGTCCAACAGAGCGGCGAGCCAAACAAAAAGAACTCCGCCGAGAGTATAATAATTTAAAAATATTTATACCTACTCGATAATTTAAATATTTTGATTGAAATTATCGAATTATTATTCTATTACAGTCGTGTATACGGTAATTTATCGAAAAAACATCGAATGAATAATGCAATGTTAAATTGTTGTCTAACTTGTTTAGAAACTAAATTTTGTTTAAAAAACAAATTATGTTCGAAATATGCAAATCGTACGCAATAGGTACGTACTCAATTTAATTTAAAAACGCATAAACTATATTACCTGCCTATATACTGTATCTAAATAGGCGATCCAAAGAAACAAATGTCGTACGAAATCTTTAAACAACAATAATGCTTACTCTACACATGAACGCAGTGACGGGAGTATAATTTTTTCTACGACACTGTCTCGACAAAATTCGTTTTATCTTCACGTAACCAACATTATGTTACTTTGTGTGCAGTCCAAAAATCATTAATCCAAGGATTACTGTGAAATGAATATATTATGCACAGGACTGTTGCCAGATATGATTATATATGTATAAAAAAATATATATATATATATTTAGCCGGTACCTACGTTAGATAATAAGAGCGAAATAACTATAATTAATATGAGCTATTATAGTAAATTAGTAATTATTTATGCGCAGTGACAGTTTTCGTAAATAATAATATWATAATAGATATGACRTAAGAAGGAATCRTTAAAATGTAAAATATAATAAAATAATATTATTGTGTCCCAATTATTAAATTTCAATCAAATTTGAGATTTCATGTCTCAAACACCGGATCCTGGAACTGGTATTATTTCGAACATTTTATGCTCGCCGATTGTTCGAGAGATATAACCGTTTGGTCCTTTGCCGGACTTTAAATTGGTCGTTCCCTGAAATAGCCCCGCGCATTGACGACTAAAACTGTTCAAACACAAAGGCAACAAGATTAGGTGGGTARCAATAAAATAACCCCATCCCATTTGCGAGATTCCGACGTCGTAAAGGAGCTGAAGGGTCGTCGTTTCCAGGCACGTATAAACATTATTTGGTTATAGTTCCATTATACGTTTGATACACTACAAATTGGTAAATATTATTTTGTTAATTTTCCATAAAGAAAATAAACGATTGGCGTTATCGTTGCAGAACGACGTTTGGCCAACTACAGCTGCGGTCGTCGAGAAACGCTGCAAAAACAGTATTTACGACGTCGCTAGGTGTACTTATATGTATATATATATATATATATATATAAGTATATAATATAACAAATAAAGTATCTATAAAACTGAAACACAATAATACTTTACGTAATACGTAGTACGAGTTGTTTGCAGTCTTTAGAGCACACACGAGGATAATGTTCCTATTTTTTTTTTTTTTATCGAAATAGAATTTATCTCGATGTATTTTATATTAAAACGCCGTTATTCAACGAACGACGACTATAATATAAGTTGTAATTATTATTCAATACTATTTGAATAGTAATAGTTAATGTCGAAGAAAAAGCATTATTTRTATTTCATAATTTTACAAAATAATTATTTTTTTCAAGGATTAGTCTACTTTTTGTATTATCGTCTTACTCTCCAGACTCATGAAAAATGATGCAATTTTTTTTTTAAATTCTGTTCACCTAATTTTTCATTAGTTGCATGCAATTTAGTGACAAATCGAACGATGACAATATAACGGTATCATAGTATTTTAATAGCTTATTTCAATATTATATTCCTTTACAAAGTTGGTACAGTGATTATGATATGAAACCTGCGGTGATTGGCTGATCTTACCTCGAAGTCGTTCGAAACGAAACAAAAAATACACAAGATCTAAATAACACTAAATAATATACTACAACCATTGAGATGTATACTGTCAGTATAATAATAACAACATCATTGTCTTATTTTCAGCGGATTTCGGAGACGGTCTTGAAAAACCACTTGAGAAATTTTAGAAGGACTTCGTCCTCGTTATCTGAAGCCGGTAGTCGCTATGAGCGCCTATATCACCATCGCATATAGAGTACCTAYCCATGTATATACAGWGAGAGTGAGGGAGAGGGGGTACAAAACCCGGTCGCCAACTTACTACAGACCAACGTATAGGTATATAAAATATTGTATACATATATATTATACAACGAGTTTGTTTGCTCATAGGTATATATAGATACGTAGTATATAGTTGCGGATAATGAAACCCCTATATCAATGTCACCG